GATTTCCCGACTGACAACGAAACAGTTCTCAAAAAAGTAATATGTGTGATTCTCTTTGCAGCGAACAAAGAGAGTTGTGACAAAGCAAGGCATAAGTTTGTTGAGCCTTTGACGTCATGATGACGTTTTTGCGGGCTCCGCTGGAACATGTTTTCAGCAATGACGGACGAGTTTTGGACGACTTTGAAGCGGTAAAAATTGGTCATCGAAGGTTTGTTTTGAGTTTTTAATGGTAAAAAAGGTCTTAACTTGACCCAATTCGACATTGTGTAAACAATTTAGGCAAAAATTAAATGGTCAATTTTCGTCTCAGGGGCACTTTAAACTTCCTTTTCAGGGTACTATTTGTGTTGTTTATTTCTTTGATGCCTTAAATAAAGTATGTATGTAATATTATTATTGTCATTTTTGTGTATGAAAGTGGAAACATGAATAAATAATTGAATATCAGCAAGTGTTTAGCTCTTTCCCAATTTTAAGGGTGACTGCTTCGTCCTCCAACGCTTCTTTGGTAGCCTGTTGTACATACCGACTTTTGGAGATCATACGCTGGTGACTCCTGGATTTCTCCCTCAGTTAACTCTTCGATAACGTCCTCGTCCGATGTATCAACACTGTCTTCATCCGAACTTGACCCTTTAGTGATTTTTTCTTTAAGCTTACTACTATTACTTGTATGTTATGGGCAATGTGTGCAAAGTGAGTGGACTAATTGTCCGCTTCTGACGATGGTTTTTTTATGTTATTGTTCACTAACACAATGATGAAGTATTGTTGTTAAGTTTTGAATGAGGAGTGAATTTATTCTAAAACAACTAGATCATGCGCCCTCGACTTTTGTATACTTGATGGTTCATTTGGGCTTCGTCGTTATCAACAGAAACGCAACAGAAATCTCGAAGCCAAATCTAGTTTTTAAATCACGGTATTCTGATATCAAGATATTTCCTTCTTTGAACATTTTAGATGAAGTTACGTTACTGTTTGTGGGAGATATTTCCTTCGCTGACCCCATCAAATACTATGTAGACCCCAAGTACCACACGTACAATGGCACTTTTCGAGGGCCATTAGTTTATCAGTTTCATTACTGTCACATGTTACCCTCGTTAAATAAAGTCTTACCTTACCTTACTTTCAATGACGTGGCTCCATTCATCAGAAAGGCGGACATTTCAGTGGGAAACTTGGGGTCGCCATTTGCCAACAAACATGTTCTCACTCACATTTATAAAGGGAGAAAAACAGCTTTATTATATGCCAGTCCCAAAGCCGCACCAGCGCTCAGGTGAAAATCATAAACGGAAACTGATAAAATAAAGATTTACGTAAGGAAGAATTTTTTTTCAACGAAGTCTCCACTGGTATAACAAGTTTCCGTTAAACTGCGCAAAAAATTAATGGGTGTGTTATAATAAAAAATATAATAAAAAGTTCATCAATACGATGAAAGAATTCAATAACAGGCAAAAATGTGAAAGTAACCCGCTAAATATCATTTTAGCACCGTTTTCAACCATGTCAGAAGTGAGGGACTGGTCTGAAATTATTCGTTTGTAATGAGAAGTTTTAAAGTCTAGCAGGAAGGCATTTATTGTACGTGCCCGGATAGTTATGCTTTTGGATCCTCCACCCAGGTTTGCAGGATTTGATGCCGTGACCATTGCCAACAATCACCTGAACGATTTAGGCGGTGTGGGAGCCAATTTTACCGCTAAAGTCCTGAAAAAGAAGGGTATAAAGTACTTTGGATTAAGCTTCGGAAAATATGACTCCTCTCAGGTACAGTAAAGAGCTACATTAATCCATCTTCCAGGAGACGAGATGGAAAACTATTTAAGGCCAGTATGGAGGTGAAAACTCGAACCAATACAAGTATAATATTTATTACATCCCAGTCCCAGGCCGAAAAGACCTATACATAGGATCCTCCGCCTCCACTTAAACAGGCCCTTTTTTAATTCCATATAGCAGCATCTTTCGCCGTTAACGTACTCTACGGATACATCGTAACCAGTTTTAAGCTGATATAACTATTTTTTGTCATTTTTTAGGAACCTCTTATTCTAAAAAGAAACAGAATCACGATAGCATTTCTTGGTTATTGCGCCTCACCCTCCATAGAAAAAAACTGCAGCGAAATGAGGATGTTGTTCGACTCTGGTCCAGCCATTTATCAAGATGATATCACTACTAGAGACGTCAGGAGGCTAAAAAAGGTCAAACTCAAGTTTAATAGCATTATAATCATCTTTCAATTGAGTGTCGAAAGGATTTATGACTTCTTCGGTTTAGCTTAACTTTGCTCTTTGTTTGGTCCAGAAAACTCGTGCTACTTTCCTAAATTACTAGATTTAAAACTTAAACCAATCCTTATTTAACAAATAGTAAACACCACAACGTACCCTTGAGTTATGGGTGTAGGCGGGAGGTTGCTAAGCACGAAAAAAGCGTAAGAGTCGCGTGAGGCGATAGCCGAGAGCGACCCTAGCTTCTTGAGTGCTCAGTAACCTTCCGCCTGCATCCATAACTCAGTAGAGTACGCTGTGGTGTTCACCTTTTTTTTATAACATAACATTGATACATTGTAGCAAAAGAGTTCTCTTTCATTTAACAAATCTTATGTGACCAGAAAAAATAAGCGCGCGAAAACTAGTCTTTGCATGTCCACACGTCAGCAGCGTACACCCATGGGCAAACAGTGGACACTGAATTAACCAATCAGGACGCGCGCTTTACTTTGATTATGGCATACTTCGTTACTAGTGTTTTCTTGCGTCTAATACAGTTTGCTTGTTTATACTTTGAGGTTTCATTGGCTAACGATGATGTTAATAACCACACCTATTGGCTATTGTGAGTAATTTCATTTTGGCTTGTTTGAAGGAAAGAAAATATATTTATTCGTCTTATAATCCTCTTTTATGGGAAATCAATGAGGATCTATCCTCAGAGTCATTCCATAACACGCGTATTGACTTCTTGTACTTTACCTCATTTTTTGCTTTACTTCCATAGGCCAAAGTTGACATCATCGTCGTTTTCATGCACTATGGCCAAGAACTTCAATTAAAACCCCTTCCCTATCAAAATCACATAAACAAACACCTGTTGTCTCTTGGTGTGGATCTGATCACTGGAGCCCACCCACACGTTCTTCAGGATCACTGTCTTCAAGATAATAAACTTATCGCTTACAGCTTGGGAAATTTTCTTTTTCATATTAACCGACCACCGAGTGCTGTCAGTCTGGTAACGCTGTCGTAGGTTTAACTGTTGATAAATGTACTTATTGGCTGAATGTAAGGAACGAAATCGAATGAGAAAATGCTTGCTTGGTTGTCATGACGTACTGACTTCGCCTTGTTCGATTCGTACGTCATCTCCTCTTGCCAAATATTTTCTTTCTCTGAGTTCCCCAATGCAGTCGAAATAGGTACACGTCGGTAGCTAAATTGAATTTTAATTATTGGAAAAGAAGAAATCCGAGTCCTTTCAAACGATTCGAAACTCAGATCTTCCCGCCATTCGGTGAACAGACTACCAAACGAGGCGAAGAGAACTCTTTGGCAAGCCAGGCCATACTAGGTTCATATTTATTTGTCAAGAAAGCTTCGTTTATGGTGCTCAGATCACCGGGAAATATCGATTTTTTTAATTCAGTTTTTTCTTTTTTTTATGTAAAGACATAGTTAGCAATGAAAGATCATGTGGAAGGCACGTCGCCTTTTGAATAGATATTTCCTTCAATTAATTTTACGTCTTCCCATTGCTATATTCAAACGAGACGTACCCTTTCAATGCCATCGATAACTTTGTCATTCCCGGCTTTCGGATAAACTTGCTTCTTTTCTGTTTCCTTCTTTTTCCTATTCGTTTCCTTTTGTTTAGATTTTGTTTTGAATGTTCGTGTGTTAGTCTCTTTTTTTGTTGTCACTCATTAGCTTATTTCGTAGGCTTGACTATCCTCTAACGTTCAATTTCTGTTTCAGAGCGTGTACGGAAGATTTGGCAAGAAACCTAATAAATTTTTGTTAAAAAAATGTGAGCACTTTGTCCTTGGAAACTGCAACGCATTGAAACTAACCCGGATGCTTAAAGTCACCGTTTCGAGGTATCTTACCATATTGCAACATATTTCTTCAAAGCTTCTTCAAACTGCAATCAACTTGTTTATCTTCAGGCATTATAATTTTAAACTCCTTCGAGAAGGAGACGATAGTTTGGAATTTGACAGGTGTATTAATGCTAACCATTATGATATTTTTTTTCAATGGGGAGAAATCTTAAAAATAACTGTTGGGATTGGGGAGCGACACAAGAAGGGTTAAAAAGTTATGGAAAAGGTGGATAGTTAGTCATTGTCGCAAGGTGGATAGATATATCTTCTTAACCAAGCGCGAGAACGTACTGGGTGTTATAGTGTTAATGAACTATGGTTTAATTAATGTTATAGTGTTAATGAATTAGGATTTAAATAATAGGAACCATCACTAGGTGTAAGATACATGACATGAGAGGTCCCAGAGAGTAAACATATATAGCTAAGTTGCATGCATATTGAGGTTGTGATATATTGTGTAACTGTAGTTTAGGTAGTGATTATTAAAGTTCGGTCGGCCGTTTTAACCAAGGATTGGCGTCACTTTTCTGCAGTAAGACACAACAACTGGCGACGAGGATGGCTGAAGGAGAAGAACCGACGAATCCGACGGCACAACATATGGTGGTAGTGAATTCGCTCATCGGTCGAGTTGAGGAGTTTGTACCGGGCTCAGACTGGAAGCATTATGTCGAGCGAATGGAAATGTTCTTCGAGGTCAACAATGTGTTGGAAGCAAAAAAGGTACCAACAATACTTACCTTAATGGGTAATAAGATGTATGCGTTACTTAGAAGCATTGTATCTCCAAGAAGGCCGAAAGATTTGTCTTTTGCGGAAATTGTGGATAATTTGGCCAAGCACCTGGATCCGAAGCCGATAGTCATAGCCGAGCGTTTCAAGTTCCACAAGGCGGAACAGCAAGAGTCGGAAGCAATAAGAGATTTCGTTGCTAGATTGAAAAAGTTGGCTGAGACTTGTGAGTTTGGCGGTTATCGCGAAGAGGCGATTCGGGATCGATTCGTATGTGGTTTAAAGGAGCGAACGATTCAACGCAAGTTACTCGCGGTAGCGGACTTAACTTTACAAACGGCTGTCGAGAGGGCGTGTGCTGCGGAACTGACCGAGAAGGAAACCACTGCATTGCATGGAGGAAGTGTGGAAGAAGTAAAAAAAGTGGCAGCTACATTTCCTGAGTGCTTTCGTTGTGGAAAAGTCAATCACTCGTCGGACATGTGTTTCTTTCGCAATTCCAAGTGTCATGGTTGTCAAAAGGTGGGTCACATTGTGAAGAAATGTCCTGAGAAGGAGCAAAAACCTGAAAATGGGAAGAAAAAGTGGAACGCAAAGTCGAAATTTGGGTAATAAGAGATTTATTATACGACTGAAGGTCAAAGAGACACAAGTGCGGTATCATTCGGGACCATTCGGGACAGTGCCCGGTCCAATACTGAGAGAATATTGACCGGCAATAGAGCATTTTGATTGGTTGATTTTAGTTGTTGGCACTCTGACTGCCCGAGTCGTGTAATAAAATGTGAAATCCGATTGTCGAAGAACTGAGTTCTTTGGATATTTAATTTCAGCGGCCTATGTACCATGTCCGTGAAGAGTCGTCAATCGGACACAGTTTGAATGAGTGCGGTCCGACGAGAAAACAGAAAGTTTTGGAATTAACACAACGGTCGACAGGTTGTTTTAGTTAAAACGCACTACCACTTACTTTAAGTAATATAACATGGTTATTGCATAGCAGATTTGAGTCGAAAGTCAAATTCAAGAATACAGAATAAAGCAATTTTTGGTGGTAGAGAAAATATTAGGGTTATACAATTATCACACAAAGAAAAAAAAAGAGATCGACTGAAAACTGGAAAATTCTCATATCTAGATCTAAGACAATAGCTGAAATGTAAGACAACGGTACTCTCGGTGTCTATTTTCCACATGACATCTCAATGAAACATGGCGCCTTCGAAAACAGTCATATTTTTAAATGAGACCTTCAAGCAATTTTGATTTGAATAACCGGTTACAAGCAATTAGTTTTAATAAGGTGTAAATATTTTGTATGTTTTTGATTTTCTTTTTTCAGTTTCATTCTGTTATCTCCCTTTTTAGGAAAGGAGTCCTGAGAGCAAAGTATCTTCCACTGAAAATCGATTTCGACGAAAAAAATAAGCGAATGCATCCTGAGCCTACAAAGAACGCAAAATGGATCACCGTGTGCGGTGGTGAAGATCAACATTGCCAATGTACCAAAAATTAGAATCAAGGCTTACTGGGATGAATAAATTTCAATAAATTTCAATAAATTCTCAATAAATTTCAATTGTCTGACTCACTAAACTTTATAATGGGAAAAACTAAACGGAGGAAATTTCAGTTCTTATCATTCATCGAAAAATTTTGCTCGCACGCGATTGATCTAAACGCGTCACGAGACCGAATATCCCCCTGCCAAAAATGGGGGATATCCGAGGATATATCCCAAATCATATTCCCCAATTTTCTACCTCACGTCCAAAAAGGAAAACTCTGAGTTGGAATGTAATTCAAGAGGAGAGAGCGTTGTTTGCTTGTTACAAAAGAAGGACATGCATGTTTGTTTTGTTTATGAAGCTCTGGTCAAGCATGAATAAACGCTGAGGCTGAGGGGGGGTGTAAGCTGCCATGGACTAGGTTCTGAATGTGAGGGTCTTGGACACTAAAGAGTAAAAGAAACTTTGAAAAATTGTCTTAAATGTCAAAAAATTTATGACGGATGGATGACATCCTATACATGACCTATATTCTTTTCTTTTTCTTCCCTGTCTTCACACTCTTCGCGAACATTGAGTCATGTATATTATTGCGCTTTAGAAATTCTTCTCGTGTAAATATTATCTTCAAATGAAATGGTTATCCAGTCAGATTTTGACACACGAAGGTTCGTGTGATTAATTGGTGTACAATAAATAGCGAATAATAAATGGACGTGTAGATATGCGCCCATTCTTGGGATATCGATCGAGTTGAACTCGAGAAGAGAAATTCCACATCTACAGCCACCATGTTTTCTTAATACAAACACCATAGGCTTTTACAAACAAGAAGGGTCGACTTTGTTAATGAATGAGTGACGCGAAAAGCGAGTGATGTGTCAGCAGCTGATTGGCGAGTAGAAAATTATCGTAATATTACACGCGAAAAGTTAAGGCTTTTTCTGAGGGGTGGAAAACCTTGTACAACACAACATTTTAAATGATAAAGTAGTAAAATTCTCTATGTTCTTTGAAATCGACGTTGAAAATGCAACCTTTCCAATCATGCGAAGGAAATAAAACTCAATGAATAATCATCTGAGGCGCTTTTTCACTGCTTTTCTGGTTGCAATGATCTCGTTGCGACATTGGCATTTAACATCCTCATCTCCACATACATGGATCCATTTAGAGTTCTTTACAGGTTCTGGGTGTAGGCGCTTGGTTTTGTGATCCAGCTTGACTTTCAGAGGCAAATATGTTGCACCAACCACGCCTTTCCTAAAAAGAGTAAACAAAGAAAATTATTTTTGGGACAAACGAAGAAGAATTGCGATAAAATCAAAAAGTTTAAAAAATTAAAAACCACCAAC